ACCCCCAACTTTTGAGACCCTTTTCCAGAGTCAAAAAGTCGTCTTATACGCTGGAAAATACGGCACTATCTTAACATCTTACAGAATCCTGGGATTTGCAGTTTAGAAAGAGGTAATTAGAATTCTCAGCCAGACAGCTCTAGTGGGTCACTAAACTACAAACCCCAGGATTCCACATGATATTGCTGTAGCAGTTGAAGTGAAATCATAGCACTATAATGATGTGGTCTTAAATGGCTCGAGGAAACACGTCAGTCCAAAGGATCCATATCCTCCCACTACTCTGAGTAATACTGATCCTCTCCCTCATCTCACTCCCAGAAATCAGAGCATCAGTGCTGAAGAGGGGAGTGCTGTGGAAAGTTTTGTGAGGGCTGGGATAGGGGGATTTAAGTTCAGATCTCCTCCTCAAAGGGATGAAACTGTTTCCTTCCCCTTGAATAAAGAAAAATGATCTCTCAGGATTGTTCTGTCAGTCAAAAAACCAAGAGAATGGAACACTGGTGCAATGTGAGAAAGTTCAAGGATACATTTGAAATGTTATTTGATCTCACCAGACAGTATCTTCTTAGAGGAGGAGAATGCAACACTTATAGAAACAACCACAACCATACTGCAATTGGCTGAAGAATCAGAGCTTAGAATATCATTTTTCTGGACTACATCTCCTAGATCTGGTGAGTGGTCAAGCTGGCTAGGATATTCTGTCCAAATGAATAACTTTTCTAAGTGTTAACCCTAATGCTGCCATTAAATCCCAAGATATGCCTTTGTATTTAAAAAACACACACACACCCTGAATCATAGATATCATAGATATTTGCCCTTGAAAGATTTATCAATGAGTAAGAACATTCTTTTTATTGGATGAAAAGGAAAACTTTGACATATGTTGTCTTTCTGATTTCTCGAACAAGACTCTTGTTTTTATAAATAGGATAATGGGAATTAATTTTATGAAAGGATGCAATTATACTCTTGTTTGGTTATGTTAAGGATGCTGTTGCTAAAGAAACAACAGGAACTGACAGTAATTTACTGATAGCAGCAAACATTTTAACTGCACAATATTGGTAGTACAACAAGACACAAAGAATTAATAAATAGCTTTACAAGATATGGGACATTGCCAAAACAATGAAGCTGACTGATTGTATTATGACTTATTAAGGCAGAAAACCTTGGACAATTTCCAAGCAAGAAGGAAATTTGCTTCTTGAAAATTTATTTATCACATTTTAGGATTTTAAAGATATGATTGATCTGTCTCTTAATCCTCAACTTCAGCCCCATTATTGCCACTTGCCTTTTGGAAAATCTTATTTTATATAATGGTCCAATAATCCAAAGGTTCTAGAAAAAAAATTATAATGAAGCAGAAGCAGCACCTGATAGAAACCAGAAGCAATTTAGG